CCGCGGCCCCGCCGCCCCCCCCCCCCCCCCGAATTTCTGGCCCAATTCATACTCGGGATTTTTTAATTTTGGGGGGAGGGAGGGGCTCTGATGCTTCCATGGCCCCTGTGTCATCGTCACCAGGCAATGCCGGGGAGCAGAAGACAGTCCCACTGCTTCTGGAGCCAGTGTTTGCACGGTACCTGTTCGCCAATGTGATGACTCTGTTGGTTGCATCGGCCTCCTGCTGACATTTGATTTTTTCAGCTGTAGCTTTCTCAAATTCTGCCGTGAGAGCTGCCAAGTTAGCATTCAGGTCCTTCAAAAGACAACACGCCTACTGTTACCTCTTGCACACACGGTGCAGCTGCAGTAAGCCGCCAGGCCAGGAGAGAGCTCTGCAGACCCGAAGGAGCTTTGCAGCAGCCCCTGTCGTGACGATGCAGCTCTTGCACCTGGGCTCCAGGTTATATGAATTGTAAGAATCTTTCTCGCTCATTTTTGGCTTCTGGCCACGACCCGCAGCTGAATTGCCGGTGGCTGATGGGGGCTGCGGCGGGGGCCAGCCAAGGCAAACAGCGGCTGGCTCCGGCAGCTGGCCCTGGCCAGGAGCTGCGGGAGGGGGCACGCACTTACGGCGATTTTGTTCTTAATGCGACTGAGTTTTTCTTGTGCCTCCGCCAGCTCAGCGTTGGCCTCCTCCAGCGCCCGCCTCTTGGGCTCCACCTCGCAGAACACCTCGTAGAAACGAACAATGTTGAGGCACCAGGAGCACAGACCTGCCGCGGCTGATGACTTCGACATTATGAACTCCGGATCAAAACTGGGGTCTGACTGGTAGGGCCTGGAACAGGAGAATATGCCACGCTATGAAACTGCGCTATGGCTGCCGGTGGCTCTGTCCCGCTCCCCCTGGGGCTTGGTCTGCCGATGGGCAGCAGCGTGGGAGAGCAGAGCAAATGCCTGGATCCCGCTCCTGCCCCTCGAACCCTGCCGCGCTCGCTGGGTGAGGGTCTCTCCTGGACACCCTGCCCAGGGCAGCCCTGCGGCAGGGGGCTGGGAAGCAGGGCAGGAACTGGCCGTGGACTCACTGAAACGCCTTGAGACAGGCCTCGGGGATGTTCTCCTTGTCAAACTTCTTTAAGGCGTCAAGGAAAGTGTCTACTTTTCCCATCATCACTTTTGCTGCCTTCCAGCTCTTATCCTTCGGTATCTTGCCCCTGGGGGCTGTCAGGACCATCACAGCTGCCGTCACGTTCACCACCGCTTGGGGCGGCGACCCGAAGGACTTCAGCTCTGTCAGGTTGTTCTGGGAAGGGACCGCGGGGCCGCTGAGCATCGCCCTGGTGGCAGGGATGCTGGCAACAGCCAGGGACCCGCTTCCCACTGAGGGGTTGCCCACCTTGTTGAGTGTGTTGAGGGCCTCCTGGGCGGCTATGAGTGCCGGCTCCGCTTTCGCCAGGTCGGTCTCGCAGGCTCGCTGCTTCTCGGCCACATTCTGGGGAGGCAAAGGGACAGGACAGGGTGAGTGGCCGGAGCCGACAGAGCTCGCGCTGCCCCATCCCATGTTGGACCCCTGCACCAGCCCAGCGCCACGCACCGTGTTGATGGCCTGGACCTTCAGCTCCTCCTCATCAGCGATGGCTTTCTCCTTGCTGACCTCCTCCGTCTCGACGCCCACCACGTGGATCAGTTTATCCGCGTCCTCGTTCTTCTGCTTCAGCTCTGCCTCCTGGACCGCCAGCTTGGCTTTCAGGTCATCCACCTTGATGGGGGGGAGAAATGGAGAGGATCAGAGGGCTGATCCTGCGGAGCCCTGCCTGGCCTTGCAGTGGCAGCTTGGTACAGCTCAGGGACCTCGCGGCCACCATGACTGCCCTGTGGGGACACGCCTCCTCTCGCCCCCCCACGTTGGACCCACAGCGGGCATGCTGCTGTGGGCACGCACCTGCGATGTCGTGCTCTGCAGCTTCATCAGCCCCTTCTCCAGCCTCTCAATCTTGGCGGTGAGCTCGCTCCTTTTTTTTGACAGCAGGTTTTGGTAGAGCTTTATCTGCTCCAGGAAGGTCTTTGGCGTGGTGTAATTATAGCGTCTCTCCATGGCCAGGTAGGTCTTGGACATCTCCTTAACGCTCATGTGGATGTAGGACATGAACTGGCTGATGGAGACCTTGACCTCGGCCTGCACCAAGAGCACAGACAGTGAGCCGCTGCGTCGTGTGGACGCGGTGCCAACGCTGGGGTAGAACCGAGCCTTCCCGCAGCGTTGGTTCCACATCCAGCCACAGAGGCTGGGAGGGAAAGCACTGCTTTTTGTTAAACAGCATAACGCGTGGCTGAGAAATGTAAGTGATCACGGCACTAACGATGCTGGTTCTTAAGCCCCACTCTGGTTTTCCTGGCTCTAACCCCCCAGGTTAACCTGGGCTGCACTAGGGAAAAGCTGCTGTTCTCAGGCTGTTATCTGTGGTGGTGTTTTAAGGACAAGCGGAAAACAAGGAAAGGTTCATCCCCACCTGCATGGTGTGGGGGTGCAGGCTCTGACCCTGAAGCCAGCTGTGAGCTTGCCCCAGCTCCCATCCCCAGCTCGCTGCCCTCAGCACCACCGGGTCACACCAGACCCCCAACCCTGGGCAGTTTGCAACAAGGAGAGCAGCAGAGGTGCGGGTGATTCCCCAAAGCAGCCCAGTTTCCCCAGCCCCCCAGGACAGAGGGCTGTGCACAGGCACAGCTCTGGCGTGCACCGACCTGGGGTTCCAGCTCACCTCGATGTCCCCTGTTTCCTCCAGGAACCTGCTGCTGACGGACACGAGCGCATCCTCCGGCCACTCGTGGAACCAGTCGATGGCCGTGCAGTTGACCATGGCGGGGAACCTCCTTGCCCGCACCCGCAGGGTTGAGCCCACGGGGGAGAAGCAGAGGATGACCTGGGGCACAGCACGGCGGGTAAGTGGGGCGTCCCTGCTGCCGGGGGCCGAGCTTGCGCGCGGGGTGGCAGGAGCATCGCTGTGGGCTCTGCATCGCTGCAAACTCTTCTGCTGGCAATCAGGGCTTTGCCTCCCACCCATTAGCTCCCCTTCCCAGTACGAGGCAGATGGTCTGTGACTGTGCACCCTGTGCCTCTCAGTGCAGTCGGGGCCGGCACCGGATCCCCTTTGGTGGCTGCGGCCAGCGGCCGAGCACGGTGTCAGCACCAGCGTCCCTGTGAGTGCCCAGCACAGCCTGGCCCTGGCTCACGGCTGTGGAGGCTGCTCACCCCCCTCTGCCCCAAGGGAGGTAAATACGTGGGTGTGAAGAGCTGCGCCCCTGGGGCTGAGGGTGCACTGTTGGCTGGGGAGCCTTTGAAAACATCTTTCACCCAAATCCTTCACCGTGTAATGAAACCACGGTTTTCTCTGTCCTGTCTGCAAATAGGTTTTGGATTAGGCAAGTCAGGAGCACTAAGAAAACCCTGCTCCTGACTGAACACCCACCTTTAACTGACGCCTGACTTTTTCTATAAATAATTTCCAGCAGTTTTCCCTTGTATCTTGCAATCCGAGGAACTTCATCTGGGGCCTCATGGCACTGATAATATTTTCCAGCTCTTCTTCCTGAAAAAGCCCCGGCACCTCTCCGGACGCCAAGAAGTCATTGATTAGGACCAGGAACGATTCTTCAGCAACTTGGGAGTCTGTCATCAGGAACACGGTGGGGATGTTCTTCACGGCCGCCTTGATGTGCTGGGAGGCGAGGTCCAGCTGGGGCAGGAGAGAGAGACCGTCACCCCCTCTCTCTTTGACCCCCCGAGCTGTTCTCTGAAGTGATCAATTCGGCACAGCCCGGTGCCCCTTGGCCGCCCTGGGAAGCCAGGAGGGTGCCTTTGGGAAGGAACCTTTGGGAAGGTGCCGGGTGCCTGCTGCTCTGCTCGCAGTCGGGGCCAGCTGCCAGGGCTGCCTGCACCCCACCTCCCTCACGAGGGGCTCCTGCCCGTCCCTGTCTGGGGAAACTCTGCAGTCTCTCGGGACAGGACTCATGGGTGTTCAGAAAGCACCTTTGAGCAGATCGCACGGTGCACAGACGCAGCGAGAAGAGCAGAGCAGAGCCCTGCGGACCCACCCCAGGCATTGGAGCCACTACGGGGCTTAGCACCACTCCACGTTTGCAGGATCCATCCCACGAGCAGGCGGCACTGCCCCAGGGGGCCGGGAGGAAAGCTGCGCTCACCTTCAGGTCCGAGATGCCATAGCCTTTCCTCAGCGTAATCTGAAACACGTTCAGATTGCTGATGTATGCTGCTAGCCGCGCCAGACTCTGCTTCCCGCTGCCTCCTACCCCCACCAGCAGAGCATTGCCCCGGGGAGACTCTAAGATCCGACTAATTCTGCAAATATGAGACACTGCATCTTCAAAGAGCACCTGAAGAAAACAGGAGGGGAAGGTTTGATATTCTGAATCACAGCAGGAAGAGCAGTGAACGCCCCATAACATACAAACCCGAGTGAGAGCGATGCTGCAGCTGCGTCTCTGCGGTGCAAGTGCTGCCTCAGCGCTGAGCTGCCCGCAGCAGGGCACTCACCAGGCTCATCGCCGCGTTCACCTCGTTGTAGTTGTCCAAGGCTTCCCCCAGCAGCTTGTTCAGAGCCGGCCAGCTCGGCACCGGCAGGTACTTGGACTCCCCTATGCCCTGGGCGAAGTGGCAGTAGATGTTGGGCTTGGCGAACACCAGGTCTTCGCTGAGTTCCTGGGAGAGGCGAGACCAGCCGTGGGGCTCAGCCGTGGGGCACCCGGGGGGTACCGCTGCCCGTGCCACTGCCAAGCCCGTGCCGGAGAGCTCAGCCTGGCAGTGCAGCCTCACTGGGGTGGGGCACTCCCTCATTTTCCAGCACAACTTACATGAAAGAACTTTCTGCAGGTGTCCGCCAGCATCTTCCCAAAGCATTTTTGATCCCTTTCATCGACGAGCTTGTCTCCGTACACCCTCTCAGCTTCGTGGAGCCAGAGACGCACCAAGTCCACGGGACTTTTCAGGCATTCGGGGGTGGAGAACAACAGGCCCTGACAAACACGCGAATCCTTCAGTCCTCAGGGGTTTATTTTACTGCTACTCAGAGCTGAGTTTAAAGGTTGGCTTTGGGAAGAGGTCATGGTACTTTTCAAGGACATGGTGCACTGCAAGGATGCATGATGAAGGAGAGAAAGGAATAAGGATGTTTTAGAGGAAACAACCCTCCCACTACCTGGAATATGTTGGAGAGGTCGCGGAGGTTGAAGAGGTAGTGGAACTTGATGGCTGTCGGCAAGAAGGTGGAGGCAACCTTCTGGTGGAGAGCTGTCGGCAGGAAACAGGGTGAGCAGGCGGGCAGGTCCCCAGAGACCACTGCAGCCTCCGGCAGGATCCCTGAGCCTGGCTTGCTCTCCCCTCCGTGACCTTCGGCAGGAGGGGAGATAATCGGTAGGACAAGCCTGAGGTTTTAGTTGGACCATTTCCAGGGACACGATGCTGTGTTTTGAACGTGAATAGGAGAAAAGGAGGACCGGAGGCTTAATTTGCACAGTGCCATGATGCAGAGGTGTTGTGTAGGGCTCCCAGGGCACTGGCCAGTTGTGGTGTGGTTGGGTTTTCCGGTGCCGGCGGGTGCGGGTGCATTCCCCAGGGGCCAATGCCGGTGTGCGCCTCCTTCCCACCCCCCCAGCCTGGCAGGGGCTCACCCAGCGCTGCTGCTACCAGCTGGGGCTGCAGCTTCTGGACAGCCGGCGGCATCCTCTGCAGGGCCAGGTGCTGTGCGAGGATGGTGCTGTACACGGTCAGCAGAGCCTCCTGGCCGGGAAAGCTCATGGCAAAGATGCAGAAGTGGCGCTGCAGAAAGGAGCAAAAATTCAGGCGGGAGCTTTGCCCCCAGGGGCTGATGCAGGCAGCCGGCACTGTGAGGTTCCCCACCACGTCCTAGCCCCATCTCACCCCATCCCAATCTATCCCCCCCCCCCCCCTTTGGGCCCCCCCCCCGCTCCTTTGGGCTCCAGTCCCAGGAGAGCGAACCCGCTGGGGCACAGCCCCCGGCCCCACGGGTCCTGCGTACCTGCAGCCTGGGGTCGATGGTGAAGGACCCTGAGGTCGGGTTCATGCAGGCCACGTACTGGCAGTTGTGAATGTCCTTCAGGGTCAGCTTGTTCCTGTCGTACCTGCGCAGGGACCATGACGCTTTCCCCAGGGACGGGTTCCTCCAGTCGGGCTGTGCCGCACTGACCCTGTGGAGCTCCGTCCAGGGGGACGCGGGAGCCCGGATCCCCATTTTCCTGGTGCTCAGTGCAGCCCGGCACCACTCTTGGAGATGCTGTGTGGGGCCCTTTCCCGCGCCACATGGCGCGACCTGGCCCCAACCCCCCCCCCCGCCGCACGAACACACGACTCTCCCA